ACTCCAAAAAGGCCTTAGGAACTCATTTTTAGCCCATTTTAACATTATTGACCTGAAATAGACAAAAACACAAATAAGTACTAAAACGGGTAAATAAGATAGATAAAGGTCCTAGAATGTACTTTTCGGTGCTCATCAATTTCAACTCTTGATACCAAGTTCTTGGTGCCTGTTTTAGTCCGTAAAGTGCCTTATGAAGCCTGCAAACATAGGAGGGATGAGATTTGTCAACAAATCCCGGAGGTTGAGACGTGTACACCTTTTCTGATAAACGGCCATGCAAAAAGGCATTATTGACATCTAGCTGATGAATCCGCCACCCATTATTAAGAGCAAGAGATAAAACAAATCGAATTGTAGTCAGCTTAACTAATGGACTGAATGTATCATGATAATCGACTCCGGGACGCTAATGAAAACCCTTGGCAACAAGGCGGGCTTTGTATCAAGCGATGCTACCATCAGGATGCCGCTTGATTCTGAATACCCATTTGCAACCAACTATATTCTGACCCGATTGAGATGGAACAAGACTCCAAGTACCATTTTGAAGAAGAACATTGAGTTCAGCACACATAGCAGAGCTCTACCTTGAATCTTTAAGGTCTTTGGAGACACAAATGGGTTCAAGGAAGTCAGGTAGGGGATGCTTTGTGGTGATATTGATGGTTTTGGGCTAGAAGATTTGATTCTTGGATCGTGTGGTCATTATATGTTGATTAATGTCAGATGTTGGCTTATGAATCTGGGGAAGGGAGGTGATGTAATCAGACTTTGGGTGCGTAACACTCTCTGGCATGGGAGTAGGACTAGATGTGGTTGAGATGGCCATATCAAGATCTATCGACACCGTGGTAACATTAGACTTGGTCATGGACGGACTGGAACTAAAAGGAAAAGATTGAGGGTTTGGGGAGGTCGTGATATGAGAATCACGTGAAGACATTGACTCAACTAATATTTGAGATGGATTTGAGGCGTGATTGGAATGAGAAGGTGATGAAGTTGACTCGGAATTGTGTAGGCGGATAATATGGCCAAGATAGGAGAGAGAAGGGGAGGCGTTTGTCCATTTAGAAAACTCATTTAAGGAAGGAGTTTCCTTATTTTGGGAAAAGGAAGAAAAAGGGAAATTATCTTCTATAAATTCAACATGACGGGAAATAAAAATTTTATTGTCATTGCAATCAAAACATTTATATGCATTATGAATATGTGAGTAACCAAGAAAAATGCATGGCTTTGACCTTGGTTCCAATTTGTGACGAGTATACGGACGTAACCAAGGGTAACAAAGACATCCAAATACCCGTAATTTTGAATAATTGTGAACGCGATGAAAAGGCTTTTAAAAGGAGATTTAAACTTCAAAATTGGTGTTGGTAAATGATTAATTAAATAAACCGTAGCTTGAAAAGCGTGTGACCAAAAAGAAAGAGGAAGTGATGCTTTGTGAAGTAGAGACAAGCCAGTTTCAACAATGTGTTGATGTCGGCGTTCTGCAGATGCAGTGTGTTGGGGTGTGTATGGTGGTGATACAAGGTGTTGAATTCCATGTGACTCAAAAAAAATTTTCAACCCTTGATACTTACCCCCTCCATCGGAATAAATCATGATAATAGGGGTGTTGAAAAAATTTTCCACCATAAGTTTAAATTTTGAGAACAATGGGAAAACATCAAAATTTTTTGCCAGAGGAAAAAGCCATGAATATTTTGTAAAATGGTCAACAAATAAAACATAAAATGAAAATCCATCAATTGATTTAACAGGAGAAGCTCCCCATACATCAGTATAAATGAGATCTAATGGACCGCAACTCTAAAAAGTAGAGACACCAAAAGGTAGTCTATGACTTTTGGTACACAAACATGAATCATAAATGATACTAGACTTAGAAGAACTTGATGACACTGGGAAAATTTTATTTGACACAAAAACTGAATGATTTTGGCTGACGGATGACCAAGTCTATTATGCCATTTTTCAAAAGAGGCCTTGATACCAACACATGCTTGTTTAAATGCCGAAGCCGCCTTCCATGTGTCTGGCCACTCATACACGTTATTCCTGCTTTGACCGCGCGCGAGTGTTGCCCCCGTTATGATATCCTTAACAAGAAAATAAGATGGAAAAAATCCAGTAGAGGTCTTATTCGAGCTGTAAAATTGTGAAACATAAACTAAGTTTTGTTGCATGGAGGGCACAGAAAAAACATTTGATAAAGTAAATGAAGTGGAAGGAGATGTGAGAGTAGAGGAGCCAGTATGTGTGATAGAGAGTCCAGTACCGTCACCAATGACTATGTCATTGGGTCCTTCATACGATTGGCCCAAAGAAAGGTTGCTCAGATCAGTTGTAATGTGATGAGAAGCAGCAGAGTCCATAAGCCAATTTGAGGAGGTCCCGGCACCAATCGTCATGTGGTTGGCTGTTGGATGGTTTGCATTATCCTTTAGCATAATTTTTTTTGCATGGTAGCATTGGTGAGCGGTATGCCCTCTTTTTTCATAGAACTGGCAAACAACATTAGGTTTTCTACCACCGCCATTACCATTAGAGTTTCTGGACCTGTTGTTTGAACTTTGCCCATTGTTTCTCTAAGAGTTGTTGTTGTTCCCTTGAGGGTATTGGTTTTGATTGGTTCCTTTGCGATTGCCTGGGTTCCCACCTTTGTTGTTGAAGTGAGTGGCATTGGCAGTAATACAGGAAGAATTAAGGTCTTGTCATTTGATGTATGACTCGTATTCAACAAGTTTATCATATAATTCTTCAAACGAGATGACGGTGTCCCTGGCGCGAATAGCAGCGGCTTTTTCCTTGAAATCTGATCCAAGCCCATTGAGAACGTGCATGACCAAATTCAAGTTGTTGAGTGGGGCTCCAGTAAGGGTGAGATCATCAACGATACCTTTGACATATCGCAAGTAATCTGCTATTGGATCTAAACCTTGAGTTATTTTCATTAGGCTTTCCTTGAGACCCATGATGCGAGTGTAGGAACGATTCGCATTCAACTTCTCAAGCTTGGACCATGCTTGCGCCGAGGTTTTTACAGAAGTCACCAGAGGAACGATAGATGGATCGAGTGATCCCATGATTGCTAGGAGTAGCAACTTATCTTAACGCATCCATAGAGCAAACGCAGAATTAGGCGTCATTTTTCCATTTTCTTCAATGGTCTGTGACGGACATGGAGTTGTACCATCGATATAGCCGAGTAGGTCATATCCATAGAGCAAGGCGTCAAATTGTGCCTTCCACGATGGATAGATCGAGGGTAGCAGTTTGAGCGGAAGTTGGGTTGAGTTAATAGCCACAAGACTGTTGGGAAGGGTTGAAGTCCTTGTTGTGGTGTGAACTATGGGTGCAGCGAGGGTAGAGGCTGTACTTTCAGTGGCCATTGAAGAAGAGGGAAATTTATATATATATATATATATATATATATATATATATATATATAAGGATCGATTTCAGACTCGGAGAAGCACGTGATGCTCTGATACCATAAAGAGTCTTGATATAAAAATGGTTGCATCTTCATTGATTGAGTTTTACAATATTTGTACAGAGGATTAAAGATTATACAGGAAATAATAAGCAATACAAGTAAAGAATAAATTACATAATTACACGAGTCAAATTGCTATAATCCTGGAGAAGTAATCGAGGAGATATTATTGGAGGAATGGTTTTGTTTCCTTATAGTTGAAGACCTCATTCACTGTAGAATTGGACCAGGAAATGAAAGCGGTAATCAAAAGAAAATTTTCTTAAAAATAAAAATCCACGAAAATTATCATGCTACGCAACCAATGCAAAAGGAAATGTAAATCTTGAATCTCTTGGTGGGTCAAAGCATTGTTACGATCTAAGCTGAAATAAAATTTGGGTCACAAATTGACAAAAAGAAGTTCATAAAAATAGTAAAAAGAAATAATGATTTAAGGTCCGAATTTAGTCGTTACCCACTATATTATGATGTCATTATGACCTAAATAACTACTCTATGAAAAGAAATAAAATATTTCTGGTAACTAAAATTTCTCCAAGTTTCATATAATTTCCCAAGTATAGAGCTCTTTCTGGGCTGGGATTGAGACTGCTTCAGAGCAGAAAGCGAAATAGGTTATGGCGGAACAGTAGGTTCAATATTCTTTCAGTTTTCAATATTAAAATTAAAATTAAAATTAAAATTTATATACATTGCTCAAACATTTAAAACTTATCCTGATGAATATATAATTTTACTAAAAACATTAGATAATACACTTGCGGCACCAATTTGTATATTAATTCTTTCCAAGTTATCAAGGAAATGGCAACCGGCCGTTTAATTATGATTTTGTTGAAAGATAAGTGAGCCGAGCCCAGGCCGTCCCGCTCTGTTTACACAATTTTATTATTATTATTATTTTATGTGGGCCTAAGTCCATTAACTATTTGGATAACGAAATAAATAGCAAGTAAACAAGTATTGAAAAAATTGGAAGCCCTTCACAGAGCAATCAGATGATTTCTCATCTTTCTTTCAAAGTGGATGATCAGAGTTTGAATTTCAAATGAGCAAAATGTATGTAAGTGTTTCTTGTCAATAATAATAATAATAATAATAATAAATATATATAGTCGGTTTAAATCAAACTCCAACCCCACTGTTAGGTTTTAACTTTTTTTTTTTTTTTTTTTGGCCAAAACTACCCTTACGGAGCAAAAAAGAGTTCCCATACCTGTTCCATTAGGAATTGGGTAGAGTGGAAATGGATGGGGCGATAAAATTGCAATGCTTTAAAGCTAGTAAAGTTCTAATCAACTTCAGCTTAACAAGTGTCCTATCTCTCTGCAATCTCCCTTTAAAAATAGAACTACAATTGCTGCAAATTAATGCAGATAAATAGTATATATATAGACCATTACATGTTTTAGAAAAACAAGCGACTAAGGTTTTGGAAAAGTATGTAATTTGATTTCTGCAAGTCCAAATAGACCATGTTAGAGAGATGGCTGGTGAGGTTGGTGAATTGTTTTCTCCTTTTGGTAAGTCATTTATTTTCTTTCACATCACATTAATTATTGGTAAATAAATAAATCTATATCTATACATGCATGCACAAAAATTAAACATTCTAATAATTGTTTTGCTTTGGTTTCTTCTTCAAACTGTAACAGAAGTTACAAGATCGTTAAGAGATATCTCACCGGCGGACTATATATTCAAAATAGAATCTTTCTCAGTACTTCTGGGAGCACTAGAGAAATATGAATCAAAAGTTTTTAAAGCCGGCGGTTATGAATGGTGTGTTTGAATTTTAATTTCTCTATTTTGTTTATACATATTGTCCACTAACAAAATTAATTACTTTTCTGTTTCGGTTTTCAGGAAGTTGTCTCTCTATCCAGGTGGGAATAAGAATAGAGATGTGAAAGATCACGTCTCACTCTACCTGCAATTAGCTAATACAACAAAATTTCGTGGTGATTGGGAGGTTAATGTGAAATTCACATTATTTGTCTTTGATCATATATGTGACAAGTACTTAGCCACTGAAGGTAACTAGTTTTTTCATAACACATATACAAATTGATAGATAAATTTCATGTTACCTTGGGATATTTGTACTTATATTATATATATATATATATATATATAGATGTTGGACAAGTAAGGCGCTTCCATAGCATGAAGACGGAATGGGGTTTTGATCAATTTCTTTCACTGGATGCATTCAATAATCGTTCGAACGGGTACCTTGTAAATGATTGTTGTGTATTCGGAGCCGAGGTTTTTGTTATTAAATATGCAGGCAAAGGGGAGTGTCTTTCCATGAAAAAGGAACTACAAGCCCAGTATTGTCACGCTTTCAAGGTTGATAAATTTTCAACTAGGAAAAAGTACTTAATTCTCAGTCATGAGTTTAAAATCAAAGAACAAAAATGGTATGAGCTTTTCTTTTAGTCATGATATTCTTTATTTATTTTTAAATTTTGTATAAAATCTATAGATCTTATAATATATATCTATGACTTTTTGTATTGAATTCAGGAAGATGATGACCTATCCCAATGGAAACAGTAGAACTAGTGCTTATGGCAAATATTTGTCCCTCTATCTCCAAATAGATGATTGGTGGAAACTTCCTAAGAATTGGAAAATAGATGCAACATTCAAGCTGCGTGTAAAAGACCAACTCGACAACAAAAACAATATTGAATTTCAAGGTGAAACCATTTTTAAATTTTCACTAGCTCTTGTTAAAATTTCTCGCATAAGCTTATTCAGTTAAAATTTGATAACAATGTGTATATATATATATGTACTTTCTTTTTTGTTGAACTAAAAAATTCCTGTTGAATAATCGTTTATTTGCAGTTTGCTGCTGTTATTGTGCCTCGAAAACGATCTGGGGTATCCATGAGTTCATGTTGCTAACGAATCTCCGTGACGCATCAAAGGGCTACATAGTGAGGGATACCTTAATTTATGAAATAGAGATACAAAGTTTGATCTTGTCGGTGATTAAGAACTTGAAATAAAAATGTTTATTATTGTTATTATTATTATTATTAGTAGTAGTAGTAGTAGGGTTCCACGATTGTACCCTACTTTTCTTCTCCTTTTATTTTATAATACAAGAAGTTCTCTAAACTCATTGATGCACATTCTTTTATTTTTATAATATCATAATTGTCCTTTTTTATTGTAGTGTTTTATATTTTTTTAACCATCTTTATTTTCTCCGGTACATATTTTAGTTTTTTGGCTTCATTTTTCATGTATGAAATAGATCACAGGCGAATGAAGTTGCACAAAATTAGCCATCTAATACTTGATTGGATTGAGTATCATCATTCTTTGTTTGTTTATAAGGCTGTGATGAGTCATTTGTTTCCTTCCATACTAGCAATCAAGTTGCTCATGCGGTTGCCAAGCTATCAAAGTCATATTGATTCAGGCTATGGTTTGTTTGTTATTTTGTATGTATTGTCACAAAAAATAATAATAATAATAATAATAATAATAAAATGACACCAATGTATTAGGATTAGGGGTGGCAAATGAGCTGGTTGGGTCGGATTTGGGTTGGATTGAAAATGAGCGGGTCAATATGGGTCAAGACCCATATTCAACCCATTTAGAAAGGGTTAAAAATGGGCGGGTTAAAAATGGACAGGGTCAACCCGTTATGACCCGTGGATTTATTAATTATTATTTTTAATTTTTTAAATTTTTAATTTTTTAAAATTATTTATTTATTTTTAATTTTTTTAAATTTTTTAATTCATACAAACAGATCTAACAAAATAAATCTGTGGTTGAGAGCTATTTTTTTTCAAATGCAAATATTATATATCTCCCATCGAGTTATATAGCTATATATATATTTGACTGAACCTACTTGGGTTGTAATTTGTGAGGCACAGGGAGTTGGAGTGAAAAATGTGTCTGAAGAGAGAGTAGCGGAGAAAGAAAGGAAGGTATTATTATTTAACCCAAATATGATCATTACTAAATTATTAGACATAACCTTATTTTTTTAAAAAAAAAAGAAAGAAGTTAAGTCAGAAGGAAAATACTTGAGCCTTCCATATCCAAATAATTGTTTTAGCTTTATTTTCACATTTAAAATTACCAAGCATGTTTTAGTTTTGACAGAAATAATAGTACCAGTTTTACCAAACACGCCCAAATTTAATAATTTTGTTAAGAAAATTATAACTAAATCAAGTGAAAATATCAAAAGAGGATTAAAAAAAAAAAAGAAAAAAGGAAAGTGAAGAATATTTTTAGAAATTTGAAATGAAAAGAATATTTTAGAAATTTCTGTTCATTTTCTCTCTCTCGGTCGCCCCAATCAATGTCACAAAGACACATCTGCATCTGTCACCACTCCCTCCGCCCTGTACGGCTAAACTTCTTTTATGTTTTACTATTCCATAAACTATCACTGTATATTGTACGATATATGTATGCAGAGTCATACATATATATATATATTATATATATATATATATATATATATGTTCCTGTAATGAACAAATGTCATTATTATATATGCAGAGCCCTAATTACTGTGAGCTATGGGACTAATTTTTAATCTGTCTGAAATTAATAGTCCTACTTAATTGGGATCACGGTCACGCTCAGGAGCCAAGTAAATTAAAAAAATTATTTAAATTTATTTTTATACTTTTTTAAAAAAAAATTATTTATTTTTAATTTTTATTTATTTATTTATATTTTTTTATATATTTTTTTAAAAAAATTAATTATTTTTATTTTTAAATTATTTTTTTGGAAGGTTTTAAATTTTTTTATTTTTAAATTTATTAGTTTTTAATTATTTCAAATTATTTTTAATTATTATTTATTTTTTTAAAATTATTTTTAATTATTTATTTTTTTAGAACAAATTTTTAGAGGGAAAAACTTAGAGATGAGAGACAAATTTAGAGAGAAAGAGAGGATTGTGGGTGAGAGAATTTTAGAGAGAGAAATGAGTTGAGTGCATTATGGAATAGATGTGTGTTGTGTGTTTATTATGTGATGGGTGAAATATGGGTTAAATATGGTTAACTATATTCAACCTATCTTGATCTTCAAATTAAGTAGTTAAAAATTACTCAACCCATCTTGACCCTCAATTAAATATGGTTCACTCATAACCATTAAAAAGCGAGCGGATATGGGCGGGTTGATGGTTCCTGACCCATTTTGCCACCCCTAATTAGGATCATAATTCGCCATATTGTCGGATACTCAAACCAGAGTTTGTTACACGACTGGGTTACATATCTTCTAACATTGAAAAAAAAAATAAATCTTGAACCCAATCAAAATTCACAAAAATAAGTTACTAAAGGTGTCCACCCAACAGAACGTACAAACCTGCACCCTTCACTGTTTCACACCGTCTCAGCTCGTTGAACCACCACCATTGCCTCAAACTCCCTCTAATTTGAGAAAATAACTGCATTTCGTGCCTTCCAAAACAAAGGGCTCAAGGCCCAAAGCTTTAAAATGCTGCATTTCAAAGATTAAGGAACATTGATATATCTATTGTTCCTCGAGAGCCACGAGGCCAATCTCTTCTATAACAAATTAAATCATATAATTTTTCATTTTTGATTAATTTCTTTAATTTGCTTTTATTATTATTATTATTATTATTATTATTATTATTATATATTTTGTCATCATTATTAGCTTAGTGATTAATTTGTAGTATTATATTTTAAAATCTTAAAAAGTTATACGCACTAAAAGTGGAGAAAATATATCTATATACCCTATAAAAGTGTATTCAATTTATAAATTTCTATACATTTTAAAAAGTTATTTTTCATTAAAAGAAAAGTTAAGTGACATTTGGTTAACATCTTTTTAAACCATTGCGTATTAAAAAGTATAACGATAATTTTCAAAAGTCATCAACTATTAAGATGCCTCTTGTCAAGAGTTATCTATGGTCTATATATATGTAGAGAGTCCTATATTTAAAGATTTCACAAGGAAAACAAAAACCTTCTTTCTCTCTGTAAAAATGTTATTCTTAGTCTATAAAAGTTGCTGTCAAAATTGTCGGAGTCATGAGATTTGGGTGTTGCCTAACTCTTTCTTTGAAACGATTCACAGGTTCTTCTTTCTTTTCTTTCTTTTTCTTACTTTCCTTTACATTTTTATGCCCAATTTTAATATAAGAAATAAATGTTTATGTTAAAATAGTTTTACAAAATTATATACGTTAATACGGTATTTTTTTAGCCGTTAAGGTGTTATGTTTTTCGTCTATATATGGCTACAAAATCCCATATTTTAAGATTTTAGGGTGAAAAAAATAAAAAAGACTCTGCAAAAATATTATTCTATTTTCAAGTCTATAGATTAATAAGGCGATTTTTAGCGGTTAAGATGTCTATCGTGTCTAGAGAGTCCCATACTTTAAGATTCTAGGGAAAAAAAAATACTGCAAAAATATTATTCTATTTTCAAGTTTATCACCTACAGAATTCTTTCTCAGATGATATACTTCTTTATATAATAATTAGTTTTGTAGGTGATAAAAGTAGTTGTTATTATTATTAGAGTAAAAAAAAATTAGGCTGCTGTGAACTCTTTCATTTGAAACAATTCCCACGGTTTCTATGTTTATCTCTACCCCACACAGGCCACACATATAGATATATATATATATATATATTTCAACATACTATCAATTTATACATTTAAAACAGTTTTTTTTTTTTTATTTTAATCGGAGAAATAAACCTAATTTTTCATTTTAATTAAAACTGTTTTACAAAATTATATACGTTAACATCCCACAACGATAATTTTCAAAATGCACCCGTTATTAAGATTACAATTGTCATTGGTCATTTCGCTACAAATGATTACAGAGTCCCAAATTTTACAATTTCATAAAAGAAAAAAAAAAAAAAAAATTCCTTCATGTTCTTCTCTTTGAATATATCATTCTATTTTCAAGTTTCTACTAATAATATTCTTCTTTTATAAAAAAAAAATTTTTAAGTGGATAAAAGTTACTTATAAACTGTTAGAATTACCATATTTGGGGTGTTGCCAACTTTTAATTTTAATTTGTTGGAGTCATCTGGTTTTCTTTCTTTTTATATCTATAAATCTCTTTATTAAAGTCAGTTGGATTTATTGTATTTACATACACTTTTAAAGTAGCTATTTTAATTTTAAATAAACAAATTATGTGACTTAAAAAATAAAATAAATAAATAAATAAATAACTAAACTACTTAAAAGTTACAACCCCTTTTAAAAGTCATCTTTTTAATGCAAACACTTCTAATACTTTAATAGTTACACAAAATGATTAACACCCATCACTTATATAAATCATATTAATAGTTACGTGACTTTTCCTTATTTTTCATATTTATAGTTATCACGTTCATATAAATCATCGCTCATAAAATTAATTTGTACTAACCGTTATTCAGTTAATCTAAATTATCACTCTAATTAAATTATTTTCTATTTGTATACATTTTTATTAATTTAATACTAACTTAAATAAGTTTACATCAATTATCAAATGAAAT